AAAAAAAAAAAAAAAAAACAAATAAAAAAACAAAAAGAAAACAAACAAACAAAAAACCAACCAACCAAACAAAAAAAACCTCTTAAATTAAACACTATAATCGCTGACAACATGGTTTTGAAATTTAGGTACCTATAGCTTAAAATGTTAATCTGTATACAACCTAAAGCCTCCAAGATGTGTATATATCATACTTTCTGGAAAATTGCTTTAAAGGGCCAAAGGCTAAGTATGTGTGTCACAAGTATGACACAGTTGCTCATGCCTCTAATCCCAGTACTCAAGAGACAGGCAGGCAGATTTCACGAGTTTGAGTCAGCCGGGTCTACATAGGGAGTTCCAGCACAGCCAGAGCTACATAGTGAGACCCTGTCTTAACAACAGCAAAAAGTATGTGAGTCACAGAGGCCCACAAAGTCTCTTTGAGATAGGGGTGAGAATAGGAAGTGGGTTGGGGCAAGGATTTATAGAAGAAAATATAATAAGAATGCTCATATATTGTCTCTCATTAACACCCATTGGGGACCTCTGTGCTAGACTCTTATTAAACTCCAAAGGTAAAGACAGTCTAGACTAAGAAGGGCCTTGTATATTATATACATATGGACTTGGATTTTCTCCATTATGTAGTTGTTGCACCTCACTGAAAGGTTTCAAAGTGTCAAGTACACAACTGTATACTAGACATGCAACTGATGAGCCTTTAGGCTTCACCAGCCATAGCGTTAGCATAAGACAATCATTTTTTAAAGGTTGTATTTTACTATCTTTTCACTGGCTCCTTTAATCTTCTCTGTTCCTCCAAAACTAATTTGCCACCTCTTTCGTTCTATCCCTACTAGGCTTCTCCTTGATTTAGTTGATAAACAACTAAAACCAATCTATGGTGAGGGGAAAGAAAAATGGATCAATGTCCAAAAGAGCTGAAGAAGCAGAGTGGTCCATCTTGCTTAAAAGAGCCCAGCCTCAGCCCAGCCTCAGTTTCTTCACTCTTCTACATGCCTTTGCATTTACCTGTCCTTGGGAATAGCCAGGTTTCATGACCCTGTCTTTACCTAACTCCCAGCCATGGTCCAAAGGAGAAGAGGATCTCTATAGCCGGTTTTTCTTGTCAGACTTACTTTGGACCGCCATCCCCCTGTGTGTCTTAGTCATAAGACACAGAGATTTATTATTAATTATGAAAGCTTGGCCTTAGCTTGGGCATGTTCCCAACTAGCTCTTGTAACTTAACCCACTTATATTAGCTGGTATTCGGCACAGGGCTCATTACCTCTCTTCCATACTCTGCATCTCGCTGCTTCCCAAGTCCCTCTCTCTTTCCAGAAGTCCTGCCTATCCTCTCCTACCTAGCGATTGGTTGTTTGGCTCTTTATTAAACCAATCAGAAGGTGCCTTGGCAGAGACACAGCTTTGCAATGTAAAAAAGATTATCCCACAACAGGGCTCTCTTTCTCCAAGGCCTGTTTATTTTCAGTCCCAGTATCTAGAAAAGGAACTTCTATTTCTTTCATGAGAAAGCCCACCTGATGAGTATAGATTAGATTTAATAAACAGAAGAAGGCAGCTATAATCATTAGCATAGGACTTAAAGATTTATTTATTTTATTTTATATATGAGTGTTTTGTCTATATGCCATATACCACACATGTGTTTGGTGCCCACAGAGATCAGAAAAGAGTGCCTCAGATCCCCAGGAGCTAGAGTTACTGATAGTTGTGAACTACCGTGTGGGTGCTGGGAACTGAATCTGGATTAGGCACGTTATTCAGCTTAGTCTGTAGACAGCGGGGAATTTTTCTTTTTCCTTTTTGGTTTTCTGAAACAAGGTTTATCTGTGTAGCCCTGGCTGTCCTGGGACTTGCCAACCATGACTAGCGTGAGATTTTTCTTTAAGATTTGTAATTCAACCTAGATAAGACTTTCTCTAATTTGGCCAGAGCTCTGTCCTTAATAGGATGAGCTAGATACATGCATAAAATAGTATGTCAGTCTGCGGCCTCGAGTGACACTAAGGAGTGGTTATTTAGTTTACTTTTGTACCTGAACGGCCAGTTTATGGCGCATTTCTTCAACAATAACCTATCAGCCAGGGTGTTTTAGTAGCGGCTTCATTTCCAAGCTAACATCTCCTCTGTCCTCCAAATGATGTCCCATGATATTTGTGTGTGTGTGTGTGTGTGTGAGAGAGAGAGAGAGAGAGAGAGAGAGAGAGAGAGAGAGAGAGAGAGAGAGAGATTTCGAGATCGATCTGGGTAGAAGCTGTGAAGGCTGGTTAGGAGGTTGCCCAAGAGGCAAACCGCGCCCTGAATCCCTGACAGCAGTTAAGATCGCATTAATAGACAACGCCCTAAGAACCAGTGAATCCAGAAAGGCCATATAGAAATGTGACGCCATCCATGTTAAAGGTAGGAAAAGTGTGTTGTTATTCATATTCCGAGTCGAGGACGAATATGAGAAAATATTTTGAGAAAGCACTGAGGTATGCGATGAGTTTGTCCCTTAAATTACTCTAGTGTTAATGAGTACGGCTGCAGACTGAATCACTTGAAAAGGGCGAGAGCTACGAAGACTACACTGGCAGTGGGTTCTGGTGAAGAAGGAATCCAGAATCATAAGAGGTCAGGAATGACAGATCCCTCCAAACGGATCACATCTCGCCTTCCTTTTAAGTACTCTTCTAGTGCTTTCAGAGATGCCCATTCAACGTGTCCTGTGCTTTGTCGTAGTTTCGAAGAAGTCAAAGGGTGAGCCACCAACTTCGCAAGTCCTTTGGGAACCACTGACATTTTCAAAGCTCCTGGAAGAGAAGCCCACCAGATGTGTGCCAGGGGATAGCGTCTTTCGCTATGGAAGAGCCCAGCAGTGGGTTATCAAAAATGCCGCTGTCATTTAGGGGTTATCAAAAGTGCCGCTGTCGTTAAGTGAAGACGAATCCTTCAAGTCCCCTTCCTGGCTCTCCAAGAACTGAGAAGGCCTAGAGAGGTCACCAACCAAATAAAGTTCCACACTTGCTGCCTTAGACCAGGGTGCACAACTTGGCAAATGGGGCGGGGCAAGCCTCGGGGCAGCGCCTGGCCACGCCCCCGTGCGACTGTGGGCGGAGCGGAGGGCGTGTCTGCGTCCCTAGGGGGCGAGGGCGGCCACAGCCGCCCGAGGGGGGCGGGCCTTGGCCCCGAGTGACGGCCCGCCGGCCCAACCGGTGTGAGACCACGGGGCCGGCCTTCCTGCAGCGTCTTCCGCTCGCCGGCTGCGGCGCCTGGAACGGTTGCGGTGGGTCTGGGCGCTGGGAAGCCGTCCAAGATGATTAAAAAATTCGACAAGAAGGACGAGGAGTCTGGTACGCGCGGCGCTCCGGACGCCCACCCTCAAGAGCAGGGGTCCCCTTTCCCTCGCCCGCAGCCACCTGCTCCGGGGACTGGGCGCAGCGGCGGGGGTCTGCCCGAAGCCCCTCCCCCGGCGCCGGGGCCTCCCCTCGGGCCGCGCGCTCCCGGCCCTGGGTGTCGCCTTGAGCGCTTGGCGGCTCCGCCCCGGCGCGTCCCCGCCCCCCGGCCGAACCCCTCTCAGCCGGCCCTCCGCGGGGCCCTGTCGGGGGGGTGGGCGAGGAAGTGCGCGCGCATGTCTCGGTGGCCTGGGGTTGCTGGTGGGGTTAGGCCCCCAGGGCGAGCACCCCTTGTTTTTGGGGCTGGGGTCGACCGGGCCAGGGTTGCGTGTTTATGGACTCTGAAGGGCCTTGATTCTCCTGTTCCCAGGGGTTAAGACTGCCCGGTGGGACACAGCTCTTTGAATGCGCAGGCATCCAGAAGTGACTTGCGTGTTGATACCTGTCTGTGGTGCAGTGCAAGTGGGGAAGATGCCAAGCCTCTTCAAAAATAAAAAAAAAAATCTTCAGCTCTTCAGTGGTAGCTGCTCTCACAAGTGTGGTGGAAGGTTGGGTTAGTGGACCTTCATGGCCTCATCCTGCATGGCCTCTTTACATTTGTGATTCTCTGCGAAACTGTTCCTTTCTGCTTCAGTAAATGTGTGAAACACATAAAACAGGGCTTGCTTTTTTTCTTTTAGGGAACTCCATAGTGTCCTGTCATCTCATTACTCTCGGTGGTGGTGGAAACGACACATTTGTTGACATCCATGGGAATGGGGGAGGGGGAAGCAGGGAAGGAAGGTACTCATTTTGGACAGGGTTCCTGTATCCAGAGAAGTCCAAGCTCTCAGCTATGACAACGATAGAATTTGTACCAGAATCCAAATTACTTCATCCAGCAAATATTGCATATTTGTAATAGTTGTCCTTGTGACTTCCAAGGGATCATCCTGTTTAGGTGAGATTTTCCAAGCATGCAATATCCTTCTCTAGAAAAGTCTTTGTAGGACAGCTACTGAAGACCTTCTCTTTTTCTTATACTGTAGGAAGTGGTTCCAATCCTTTCCAGCATTTGGAGAAGAGTGCTGTCTTGCAGGAGGTATGGCATGGATGTATTCAGTCTCTTGTCAATTCTGTTTGAGATAGATGGGCAACGAAATTCTGAGGTACTAAAATCAGGACACCCCAAATGAGAGTGAAGGAGCGTAGAACCATGTGACAGGCTAAAGGTCACTCTTCCCTATATTTGATCAAAGAAAGAAATTCACTTTTCATTTATATATTAAAAGTAATGGAGTGTAACCGGGTGCAAAGGATAGATTTAGGGAAAAGGACGGTCTAGAACTATAGAAATATATAGACATGCAGACTGTTGTTCTGGGGGATTTTAATGAAATACTAGAAGAAATAGTGGTAAGTGAGAAGTTATTGGAAGACTTTACAGATATTAAGCTCTTGATGTTCATATGCAGACAGAGGTTCTGGTAGAGTCTTTAAAGTTGAAGTAGTCAACCCAAGGGAATAAGAAAGTATAGATAGGAAAGTTTGGGTCACATCCAGTAATTTATTGTATACCATCATAACTTGAGAGCATAGACAACTGACATTTGGAGAGTGTACTAACATGTTGGTAATGTTATTAAAGGTGATTTGCCCTGTCCTCTCTGATAGAAAATACACTACAGCATACTGTTTTGCATATTTCTGTAGGCACGCATATTCAATGAAACCCCCATCAATCCAAGAAGATGCTTGCATATTTTGACAAAGATTCTGTACTTGCTCAACCAGGTAAACTGTTCTGACTGACTTCCTTAGATTTGTATATTAGGACAGAAACATGTGACCCGCAGTGAAGTACTTACTGAAAAGTAGAATTGTTTTTTTAAAAATTATGAAGTTTGAAAGTGCAAAATGTTTGTTTAGAACAATAATGTGTAAAAACTCTTTAATATAAGGACTATATTTCTTAAATTCATGAGGTATTAAGCCAGCTAAACATGTATTTCTTTTTTTGTTTATTTATTTTTGTTTTTTTTTTATTTTATTGATATTTATTGAGCTCTACATTTTTCTCTGCTCCCCTCCCTGCTTTTCCTCTCCCCCTTCAATCCTTCTCCAAGGTCCCCATGCTCCCAATTTACTCAAGAGATCTTGTCTTTTTCTACTTTCTACTTCCCATGTAGATTAGATCTATTAGTGTCCGCATTGTTGTCTAAGTTCTCTTGGATTGTGGTTTGTAGGCTGGCTTTCTTTGCTTTATGTTTAAAAACCACCTATGAGTGAGTACTAAACATGTACATTTCAACAGATATATTGATTTGAATTCAACAAATAGTACTTAGAACATACTTGCTACATGTAATTATTTTTAACTTTTCAATTTGTTTTCAATTTAATTTTTTTATGTGTATGAATGTTTTACCTGCATGTATGTTTATGTACCATATGTGTGCCTGGTATAATGGAGGTCAGAAGAGGGCATCAGGTCCCCTTAGACTTGAGTTACAGAACCACCACATCGATACTAGGAATCAAACCTGTATAGAAGGAGCTGCAGGCTGCTTCCTGCCACTCAGCTCCCGGCCACTGGCTAGCTTTACCCAAAATAATTACATGGAAACTGTATTCTTTTAAAGACTGCCTGGCCCGTTATCTGTAGCCTCTTATTGGCTAACTCTCACATCTTGATTAACCCATTTCTAATAATGTGGATAGCACCACGAGGTGGTGGCTTACTAGGAAAGATCTTAACCTGCGTCTGTCTCAGAGAAAAGAGGCATGGCATCTTGGGTTGGAGAATCATGGCGACTGCCTGAGGCGTCTGCCTCATTGCCTTCTTCCCAGCATTCTGTTCTGTCTACTTCACCCACCTAATTTTCTGCCCTATTAAAAGTCCAAGGCAGTCTCTTTATTAACCAATGAAAGTAACACAGACAGATGACCCTCCTCTATCAAACCTGGGTCCTCTGTAAGAGCAACAAGTGCTCTTGACTGCTGAAGCAACTCTCCCGATCAGTTGACATGTATTCATGTCAACTTTGAAAACCCTTTGAAAATACAGTATAAAGTCAACTGGGAGGTTGGTGGCATACACCTTTAATCCCAGCACTCAGGAGGCAGAGGCAGGCGGATCTCTGTGAGTTCGAGGCCAGCCTGGTCTATAAGAGCTAGTTCCAGGACACTGTAAAGTAAGTCAGGCAGATTTCAAATGTTTGTTTGCTTATTTATTTGGCATAATAGTGGTGTGTTAAAGTTTTTGTCTTAATGTTCAGGTCTCATATTCGTATCATTACACTAATACTGTCAATATGGTTTTGGACAAGTAAGTTAACCATTATGTGCCATACTACTCTGCTTTAAATGAGGATTATAATACCCCCTTTCCCCCATAGTTTCTCTGTGTGATAGCCCTGGCTCTCCTGGAACTCGTTTTGTAGACCAGGCTGTCCTTGAACTCACAGAGATCTGCCTGCTTCTGCCTCCTAAGTGCTTGGACTAAAGGTGTGCAGCGTACTACATCTGGCTGATAATACCAGTTTTTTTAAACGTTATAGTTAAATAAAATAGTAGGTGTAAACCATTATAATAGTGCTAGGCACATAATTTTTACTCAGAAATACTTCCCATTTGCAACTTAGTAAATTTTATTGCATGCCTGCTATATCTTACGTATTAGGCACTGGTGTTACAGCAGGCAAAGCCAAAAAATATTTTTTTAATTCTGTATTCTATTACTGCTGTTAATTTTCTTTTTATTTTGCATCAAACTGTAAATGTAATCTCATAGACATTTAAAACCTTAGAAAATATGATTTTATTTTATAGACAATATATATCTCTAGGTATTTACATACAAACATATAGACATTGCATATCTAAGATATTTATATGTAATGCTAAATGGGTTATACTTACCAACTTAAATTCTAGGAAAATCTTTTATTTTAGTTTTTTACAGTTATTTATTAACTTTGTATGTGCTTGCAGAAAATGCGTGTGGAGGTCTGTTCTCGCTACCATGTAGAGGTTGAGGATTGAACACAAATCATCAGGCTTGGTGATAAGTGTCTTTATCCACTGAGCCATCTCATCAGCCTCTAAAAAAACCATTTTTATCATGTAGTTTTAAAAAGACATGTTCATGAGCAGCATACCCTACCATGGCAGCACATGAGGAACATTTAAGCCAAATCAGCTTGACTTTACTTTGTGCCACATATGTTGTGTTGTGTCCAAAGTGGCTAACTCCATTGTATTAGCAGAATTTGGAGTAGTCGAAGCTGAAGTCAGTATCTCTTTCTTGGAGCAACAACTCATGTTGAGACAATTATCTTGATAAGGTGATTGAGCATAAACTTGGTCATGAAAACAGGTTTGGGAGCATTCATTTTATCTCTTTCCCTGGTCCTTGGTAGAACATTATGAGGGGAAAAAAGCCTTCAGAATTTCTACTAGCATTGACAGAGCCAAATACTCTTGAGTTGTAAGTCAAACGTAGTAACGACTTTTCTAATATGACTGAGGAATCCCACAGGCTTTGGGGTATTTGGTAAGTTTCACAGTAACAAAGTTTTCTCCCATGCTGATGAGCAATTGGATACTGATTTAAATAGTTGTAAACTCTTTTTATACTTTGTCTTTCATCCCAAACTTGAGACTTTTTAAATGAAAATTCTTATACCATGGCA